TTAAAACCAACTATTATTTATAATAGGGTTTAAAAATGCGTCGAGCTAATAACAATTTTTTTATTTTTCGTTTTTTTAATCAAAAACACTAAATATGACTTAATAAAATTTTATTTAAAATTCCTAAAAATCTTGGAATATATGCAAATTGTTATTCTGAACAACTTCACTTACTATGCCAAGTTTACTTTCCTTATTAAAAAAATAAATTACATATGTGGCTACAATCATTGTTAGGTAATGTGAAAATCAAAATTCCGGTGATCACTGTCAGGGGAGTGTACATACAAAATTGTACCAATCATTGGTTGTGTTATTATTTGACACACAACTGCTTTTTAAATTTTCAGGGATCCCCATGGTTTCCTAGACCACATATCCAGAGTAACTTTTGCAAAAAATTTTAAAATTATTTTAAAACTGATTGTCATTTTTAGATAATAAAAAATCCTTTTCTTTTAAATAGAAATTGATTCTAGAATAACCTTTTAGTATATTGAAGATCATTTCTATATCGTGTAAATAACTGACCGAATTATAATCTGCATAATAATAATGAATGTCATACTTTTACCCCTGATTACGATATTATTACTATGTAATTATGATATGATTACTATATTTATTATTATGTTATCTCTCTGGTTCATGTTCCAATTATTTTATATTACCAACCAACAAAGAAATAATCCCATGAACCTAGAGCCGAATTACAAAAAAAATGACATAAAGCTGAATCATCTTAAATCGATATAATGATTAACCATGGACACATATTCGAACTTTTTACTGTCACTAATTAAAAAAAGTTAAACCGTTAAACCACAGCTTGAATTTCATAAAAAGACGTAAATCTGAATCATCAATCAATACAACTTACTAGACATAAATTTAAAAAGTTAAACCGTTAAACCACAGTTTGAATTTCATAAAAAAGACGTAAATCTGAATCATCAATCAATACAACTTATCAGACATAAATTTAAACTAATAAAAAAAATAAATAAATAAAAAAATCTGATAAACCGAGGCTTGAATTACATAAAAAATATGTAAATTCGAATCATCAATCATTACAACTTACTAAACATAAATTTAAACTAAAAAAAAAAAAAAATAATCCGTTATCTACTTTACTGCCACCAATAAAAAAAGTTAAACCGACAAACCAAGAGGCAAATCAAACACTTACACCAAAAAAAAGACGTAAATTTCAAATCATATCACATTTTCAGTTCTGATCCAATCAAAAACGTTAAAGCATACAAACCCAGAATTAAATGGTGGAGACAAACTCAGAATTAAATGGTAGAGATAAATTCTTACCCATGATTCCATTGGTCGATTTCAAGTAGAGCAGTCACGTGATTTTTTTAAAATCGTTATATCTCTAGCCTTTGTCGATGTGATATGTTCGAAAAGTAACTTTACTTGAGTGAAAATAGGGTTTGACTTTCAGTAAGATTTTCGAGTTTCGGTAGGACTTTCAAGTTTCGGTAAGACTTTCGAGTTTCCGTAAGACTTTTGAGTTTCGGTAAGAGTTTGAGTAGTGATGTTACCTAGGTCAAAAAATAGCAACCCAGGTCAATAAAGTTCGGGTCACGTACTAACCTGGGTCATAACCCGGGTTATACAGGTTAGCCAATCAGACCTATCTCCCGTGATTTTTTATTATTCCAGCCAATCAACACAAGATGTCGTTTATATATAAATAAAAAAAATATCGCATCATCTATAATAAGTAATAAGTTTAACGATACAAATGATACAAGTCTAAATAAAGTTAATTAAATAATACTGAAGTAGTAAGTAATTTTAGAGTTTGGCAATTGTTGAACTTTATTAAACATTTATATTAAACAACAGATTTGTTGTTAGAACCGTTATAATAAGTGCATGAAAAAAAAAATAATTAAAAGAAGTGCGTGAAAAAAGAACGGTTAATAAGTGCGTGAAAAAAACCTCTGATTAATAAATGCATGAAAAAAAAAAATTGAATAATACTTGCGCAAAGTCTATTCGCATTCAAACTATAGTCAAACCTCCATAAATGCAACGTGTACAGACCAGCTTAAAACATGCATTTAGGGAGGTTTGCATTTAGAGAGAGCCAATCAAATTGCAGTTTTTAATATTTGATCTGCAGGTTTGTGTAACAAACTTAAATACTGACTTCTGATTGGCTACGTGCACTTAGGGAGGTTAGTATGATATAAAAAATCTTTTGAGTAAATGTGCATTTGCAGAATATAGAACGTGCATTTAGCACTAATGATTTCATACAGCCAAGTCAAAAATGTGCATTTAGGGAGGTATTGCACTTATGGAGGTTGCATTTAGGGAGGTCTGACTGTACCTGTAAAAGGTTACCATTGTAAACATTTTATTGTGCTCCAAGGTTTGTTGAGAATTATTACAAGCCTATTGAAGAATATATACAGCCTAGTATAAACATATTAAGAGTGGTTAGTATCACAATACCTATTTATTTAAATATTTATTTTACTGTATATTTATTAAAAAAAAACTAATAAATTTAATTTTGTAGAGACAAAATGCATGTAAATGAGAATAATATTAGTTTAGAAATGAGCAATGTAGAAAGCTTAAATATGAGTAAAGCTTCGTTACAACTCTCTATACTATCTATATCATCTATACCATCTATACCATCTACACCATCTACACCATCTCGTACAAGTAATCGGCCTTTATTTGGTAATTTGCAACAGCAAAAAAGAACTGAAAAACCGGATGAAAGCCATGTAAAAAAATTTTATTTGATAGTATTAATCAATAATGTATAATTTTGGACTTGTCAGCATAAAAGTTGTATTTCACAAGTGAAATATCGAAAAGATGGATCAACATCAAATTTGTGGAGACACTTACAGGGTAAAAATCATTTTTCAAGAGAAATAATCAAAAGTGGTTGTGTAACTATTCAATCAAAAAGCAACGGTAGTTGTGAATTTCATGTAACTGCAGAACCCTCACAAATGACATTAACTCAGGCGTTCAATATGACAACTAAGTATACGTCTAATAACCTGAAACAAAAAAAGCTCAATAATAATATTGCAGCTTTTATTGTTAATGACCTTCAATCTTTCTCGGTTCTTGAGGAACCATCATTTAAAAAAATCATTGAAGGTCTTGACCCCCAAATTAATATGCCTAGTAAGGATCGATTAAAAGAAATCCTTATTAATGCGGAAGACAAAATTTTACGAAATGTGCATGAATATGTGCTTGATGATGCCGAAATTAGCTATGCATCGTTTACCACCGATATGTGGACTTCCAACAATGATGATCCATATATTGGGTTTACATTTCACTGGATCAATAGCGATTTTCAAATGAAAGAAATGGTTGGAGAGATTTCGTGTTTTCCGTATCCTCACACGGCAGAGCGTCTTGCAAGTAAAATTATCGAAATTCTTCATAACCTTAACCTTAAAAATAAGATTATCTGTAGAACAGTTGACAATGGATCAAACATTAAGTCTTGTTTACAAAGGTTAGAACAAAGGCATGGTATATCAAAAGTTTTTTGTTTTGGCCACACGCTACAACTTGCTATACACGATGCATTAAAAGAATGTGTTGAAATTTCGAATTTAATTAAAAAATACAAGGACGTTGTATCCCATTTCAGCAGTAGTCCAAAGCAGAAACAGTTCCTTTTAGATGCTCAAATAAAAATAGAGGAGTGGAATAGGCTTCTTTTTGTAGTTCGTGATGTGTCAACCAGGTGGAACTCGATGTTCTATTTGTTGAAACGATTGGCTACACTTAAACCAGCGATGTATAAGTATAAATCGCTTTTGGTTGAGTTCAATGAAAATATAGTATTACGAAGTTATGAGGCAAAAGAACTATCGTCTAACGAGTGGGAAATGGTAACTGAATTGATTGAATTGTTGCGACCTTATGAGGTTGCTTCAAAATGGTTGTCCGGTTCTCAGTACTCAATCTTATCACAAGCATGATATGCAATTAACTATATTAAGACGAAAGTTAATTGTGCATTAATATATAATGCTGGTGTTCAAAAATTTGGAAAGCATCTTTATATATCAATTCAGACTTGATTTTCAGCACTGACAAGATTAATTCGACTTGCCGCCTTCTTTGATCCATGAACTAAAGATATACAGATCTTTACAAAAGAAGAAAAAGATTATATTATTTCTGAAGCACATGAAAAGTACCATGAATTAATTAATTTTTATGAATCAAACGAATTGTTAAACATGGAACAAATAGATTTTAGTAACAAAATTTGTAGTGACGAAGATATCTTTTTAACAGAAACTACTTTTTCTGACAAGCAATGGGTTAGCAAAATAATCCAGAGTGTGAATTCAATTCGTATTTGTTATTGCCAAAGGTATCAAGTCAAACAAATATACTTCAATGGTGGGATTCACGAAAGACAGCATATCCAGCACTCACAAAGCTTGCCTGCAAGTATTTGTGTATCCCGGCAATGTTGGTGTCATTCGAACATCTGTTTTCATCTGCAGGTCTCACTATCACAGAGAAACAATCAAGGCTTAGCCCACAGAGTGCTGGAACCCTTCTATTTCTTAAGGCAGCTCTAAAGATTTGGCCAGCCTCTCATGTTTTTGAATAGATTTATTCAAGGGTTTTTATTCAAGAGGTTTTTTTTTTTTTCTTAAAAAATGTCTTTGGGCATTTATTAAGTTTTTTTTTTTATTGTATATAAATGGTTGGTTCTAACAAGAACTAATATGATAGGGTTTTTTTTACGCATATTGTCGTTGCTTTTTTTTGTTTCGGGTTAATAAATATAGAATTCTTGATGTAATTGTTACATCATTATTTCGATTTGTCAAGTTGCGCAAGTTGCGCATAGAGTTGAATATAAATTTGTGCAAGTTTTAGACAAAAAAATTATATGTAATTTTTGATCGTTTAAATAATTTTGGTCGAAACTTTTATAAATCTGGCATAAATAAAAATTACAGTTCCAAATATAATAATGGATAGCTATTATTGCTATGATAGCAAAACTTATGTACTTTTAATATAATTTATTTAATTCTTTATAAACTATCGAATTTATATAATTTTCATCGCGTCATATATTAAGTACCAGAGTTACAAAAATTCAGCTAGTACTATTGCATCATTTGATTTGAATATACGATTATATATAGTAAAATACATAAATTACAGTAATTTGACAATCTTATCTATATAGTACTATCGACTTAGACTAATTAAATTGAGATGAGATCAGTATAGGTAAAAGTAGTTCCATATAGCATAGGTCGAATTTTTAGAACTATACTGATCAGCTATAATTTCTAACCCTAATATTAATATTTATTACCCCGGATCAGTATAGTATAGGTTAAAAATTTGGCCTGATTCGTGAAATACCTATTGACCTATTGAAACCCGGATTAGATCAATATGTGACCCGTGATCTGCATAACCCGGGTTAGGACAATTTGTGACCCGTGATCCGCATAACCCGTGGAGGTTTATGACTCGCACAGGTTAGCCTGACCCAGGTAACATCACTACTTATAAATATAGATGTGATAAAGATCAAGTAGAAGAACAAAGAATAGCCTATTATAATAAAAGAAGAACTCATTATTATTGTTATTGCTATACTCCTCAACAATTAGACAAGCTTTATAAATTAGAAGAGAAACTTGCTTATACTGCTTGCTACAAAACTTATTATGAAGCTCTTAATCTAAAAAACCCCAGAAGCTAAGAATATTATCAAACAAAACTTGGTAGAGGAACTTTTGTCTGATGCAGACTATATATGCTACTGAAATAAGTTTTCAAAAAATCTCTATTTTATCTTCATTAGAGCAATTTAGAATTTTTTATATGTAAAAGCAAATCTAATTTAGGTAGTCATGTTCTTTATAATTTCATCTCTTCAAAAAAAGTGTCAAAAAATTTCATCTTTTAAATAAAATAGGTCAAAAACAATTTCGTCTTCAAATTTTAATTTTGTATTCTGAAACCTAAATAATTTTATTAGCATGTATAATACAGATTTTATAATATTCAGAAATACAGATTAAAAATATATAACATAGAAAGCATACAAGAAGAATTATGGTTCTGTGAATTAGAATATATATATGCTTATAAAATTTTTACAGACCTCTAATATAACTCAAGTTATGAAATTTGAAATAAAATTAGACATTATACTGAGTTTATCAGGAATGCTGAACATCAGTATGATTTGAACCAAAACCGAATTTATTGTCTAGTACAAGTTTTACTTGTTGAAGATTATAGAACTATAGAAGAAGCTATAAAAAAGCAAGAAGATGATAGATATAATCGAGAATAGACCTCTGAGGAAATTACTATTTTGTTTTGAGCAAAACAAGTCTTTCTCACAGAAGAAGAAGTTACTTTACAACAGATCTTAAATGAATCCTTTAATACTTCTCAACCTGATTTTAATGCTTGCAAAGCAATTAAAAATTTAAGAAAGAATTTTGAAGAAAAAGTAGTCCTTTGTCAAGAATACCTTCTTTCTAAACAATATACTGAATTAGAAATAAATCAAAATCTTTGTGATGAATGCTATTAAGAAAAGAATAAACCAAATTTTTTAAAAGAGCAGAATATGAAAATATGCTATAATAAAATTGTATCTATAGAGCAACAGATAAATGAACTAGATTAGGATTTTGTTAATTTAAAACAATTAATAGAAAAAACATTTCAAAATAATATTAGTACTGTAAAATAGTCTGAGATAAGTAAGGACACTATCTTTGAGAGGAAGAATGAAGAAAAAGATCAGATTATCAACAAACTAAAAGCTAGAATCCAATACTTAGAGGAAAATTTTGAAAAGATGATGAAATTTTTCCAACAACAAATTCAACATTATCAGAAATGAGCTAATTATTATGCTCATATGGCCTTTATATTGCAAAATTTTTAAGCTATTCTAGGCAAGATAAAAAACTACCTGAAGACTTAGAAAAATTAGAAGACTTAGAAGAATTACCAATAGAAACAGAAGCTTTGCAACAAGTTTTGTAAGCCAATGCTCTTAAATATAACTTCATACAGTATATATTATAGATATTTTAATTTCTTATAAGAAATATATTTTAAAAAAAAACTGATACTATAAATGTAGGACTTCTTATATATGATTAAAGACAGCAATTCAAAGCTCTACTAGAAGAATTTGCTGACCTATTTGCTAAAGATATTACTGAACTTGGTAGAACAGATAAAGTTAAACTTAAAATCTATATGGAAGATATACTACTTATCAAGTTATGACTTTATAATGTATCACCTGATGAACAAAAATTTATCAAGCAAGAAATTGAATGCATGATGGATAGCAATATCATTCAAGCCTCAAAAAGCTCTTGGACATCACCTGTTATCCTAATACGAAAGAAAAATAAAAAGTTAAGATTCAGTATTGATTACAGAAAACTTAATAATATTACTAAAAAGGATTCCTACCCTCTATCTCAAATTCAAGAAATGTTGAATGCCTTTTTAGGATCTTAATAGTTTTCAACTTTAGACTTAGCTAGTGAATACTTGCAAATCATGATGGACTCTAAAGATAAAAAGAAGACTGCTTTTATTACTAAATATAGAATATATGAGTTTAATATAATGCCTTTTGGACTATGTAATGCTTTTGCTACTTTTCAATGACTCATAAACCAAGTATACAAAGAAATTGTCTGAAAATTTGTAGTTGATATCTTAATAATACCAATATATACTCCTAAACATTTGAGAACTATTTAAAATATCTAAGAATTGTATTTTAATAGATAAGAGATGCTGGATTAAAGCTCAACCTTGAAAAGTGCAACTTTTGAATAAAGTTCTTATCTTTTCTTAGCCATATCATCAGCTCTAAAGGAATAGCTCCTAACTCTTCAAAAATTAAAACTGTACAGAAGATTTAACCTCCAATAAACACTACCAAGCTACAATCTTTTTTTGGTTTAGTTAGATATTATCAACAATTTATCTAAAATTTCTTGCTATAGCCCGACCTCTGAACCAACTTCTCTATAAAGATAAACTCTATCATTTGAAAAGTGAATAGCAACAAGCCTTTGATATTTTTAAAGAAAAGCTAATTATTGCACCTATATTAGTTTACTCTAATTTTTACAAAAAGTTTATTCTTGCTACCAATACTTCTTATAATGGCTTTGAAGCTACTCTAAGTTAAAAAGATAGAGATGAAAAGGAATATCTTATTGCTTATACTAGCAAAAGTCTAGTATTAGCAAAACAGAATTACTTTGCTATAGAACTGGAATGTGCTGCTATTATATAGGCTATTGAACATTTTCATTGCTATTATGGAGCTACTGAATTTACTCTTATAATTAATTACTTTATATTAAAATAGTTTAAAACTGTTGAACCAAAGGAAGAATTCAATACTGAATTTTAAAACTACAACTTTACAACTTTACTATCATACACAAACTGGATAAAATTCACTCTAATATAGATGCTTTCTCAAGACTCTGATTAATTAGAATTTGAATAATAAATTTAAATCAATACCAAAATCTATTTAATTATTTAAACTCTGATAATATACCCTCTGACTTTACCATTTATCAATGGAAACAACTTCAAAATCAGGCTAAATACTTTATAATTAAAGATGAACTTTTATATAAGAAAAACAAACAAGACTCTGCTAAATTATTTAGAGTTATTAAATGGACTGAAGTAGACCCTATTTTATATATGATGTATAGTCATCCTACTGCTAGATATTTAGGAATAGATGCTATATACTATAAAATTGCAAAAAAATATTATTGAGACCAGATGTATAGAGACATTAAAGAATATATAAAAACCTGTAAACAATATTAAAAAAGAGGCATATCTAGAAGAAAGGAACTATTACATTCTATTAAAATAGGACAAGCTTTTGAAAGAATTAGAATTGATTTGGTAGGACCTCTACCAATAACATCTTGCAACAACTGATATATTATTGTTGCAACAGACTATTTGATCTGTTAGCCAGAAGCCTAAGCTATACCAGATGCAGGAGCCTTAACTTTGCAAAGTTTATCTTCAAAAAGATAGTATATCATTATAGAATGTCCAAGATTATTCTCTTTGACTAAAGATTAAATTTTAGAGAAGATATAATGAAAGTTTTATATGAAAACTTTTATACGATATAAGTTTTCATCACTATATCATTCTCAAACTAATGATATGATAGAAAGACTAAATAAAACTTTGTGCAAATCACTAGCAAAAGTAGAAACTAAGAAAGACTGGGATTTTAATTTGCATACAGTATTATTTGCCTACTGGACCAAGAAGCATGCTACTACAGAATATATTCTATTTCAGTTAGTATACAAAAAACAAGCTATCTTACTGATAGAGTTAATTTTTCCTACTATTAAAATAGAAACAGAAATAAATTTAGAAGATAGTATCTTAACTCAAGCTTTTAATCTTATAAACAAGTTAACAGAAGCTCAAGAGCAAGCCAAGGAGAATACAGAAAAATCACAAAAGAAACAAAAAGAAAGATATGACAAGTGAATAAGGCTAGAAAAATTTAAAGTTAGAAACAAAGTTTGGTTCAACGAAAAAATATAGAAGTATCCTACTTTGTAAAATTCAAAGATAAAAAAATAGGACCTTTTATTATTTATTCTAAACTTGGCAACAGTGCTTATCAACTTATTAATGATAAAAGACAAGTCTTACAAAAATATTATAATAGTAATAGACTTGCTCGATATTATAAATGACAATATTGAAAACTTCAAGTTGTTATTGAAACTTTACAACCTGAATCTTAAACTTAAAAAATAAAATTTTATTATTATTTTATTATTATTATTTATTTATTTATTTATTTTTTTTTTCAACTTTGGTAGTCTTGCCAGTATTATTTTATTAAGATTGTTTTGTCATAAGCTGTATAAGATACTTTAAGCTTAATATTTAGGCCTGATATTCTGTAGTTATTTCTAAAAGCACTTACAAGTAATTTGCCGTACTAGAAAAATAAATCTACAAGAGACATATTACGATTGATTAACAAAAAATTTGAAAACTACCTATTCTAGAAAGCTATATCAGACTACTGCTTTATAATAGGATATTGCCAATCTGATGACATGGGGTCTTTGCTTTGAAAATGACCTTACGGTATCATATACCGTAAAGTCATTTTCAAGGCAAAGACTCCACATCTTCTTATAGGAAAGTAAAAAAAAGAAAAAATACTAACACTAATACTAATACTAAAAAAAGGAGGAAAGAAAAAAAATGAGAGTAAAAAAAATCTGATAGTCACAATTATAAGTCTGTGTCAAGCTAATAAAAATTATATATTACAAGATAAAGAAGCTCTGTATCTAACTCTATCCTAATAATATATCTAATCTATACT